TAGAAGAAGTTGTCACTTAAATGTCTCTCTGCCCTCAGCAGGACAATGTAGTGATTGAGTGTATTGCACAATTAAACGTAGAAAAGTAATAATAATAATGAAAAAAAGTATATATAGTTCTTGGTCCTAATTGGACCAGAGGAGTGCATCACTAGCTGTATCACTGCTGCCTCACACACTGTTTAGTGATAGCAGGGCCAGAGTCATAACCAAGCTCCCTGTATAACCGCAGGGCGGACAAGGTAACTGTGCTGGAGGAGCACTGACATCAGTGCTCGCTCGCCGGCCACCTTCATTCCCCCTCCGGACATAGCACATTTGAGCAGAGAAGGTACGCCAAGGTGCCCAGTTTCTGCTAAGGGGGTGCTAAGATAGCCAGTCTCTGCGTTCCCCCTGGGGGTACACACACCACACGTACCACAGGTGGAGAATCTTTATGCTGTTGATCCACAAAAAGGCAAAAGAACAACCAAAAACAATTATTGAGATTTCCATCTTTAGTGGAGCTCCCAGTAACCTGGCTTGGTACCTCCGCCAAGGACTGCTTACTAGCTGGAACAGGGGACAAACCTCAACACTTCTCCCCACAGTTGCCGTGGCTTGACTGGAGTCCTGGAACTGCTCTCTCCTGGAGCTTAAAGGGTGATCTCGATCTAGCAACCCCAGGCACTGGAAGACACTCAGTTCTGGGAGCTCTAGTCCTTACAAGGACTTTCCCTGTTGAATCCTCCACACTGCAACAGTGATCAGTGATTAGCCCTTTCCCTTCCCAGTAATCAGATGACACCTAGTTCTGGGAGTACAAGCTGGAATACGTTTAATCTGGCATTAAACATTTTTTGGGTCCTAAACTGCTAAATAGTATTTTAGTGGGGTGCACTTCATATCTGAGAGTCAAATAGAAGCGTCTAATAGTGTGCTTACAGCGCAGTGGTAAACATTCTTATTTTCTGGGTGCTAATCTGCTAAATAGTACATTTTGGGGCGTGCTCTCCATATATGAGAGTCAAATAGAAGCGTCTAATAGTGTGCTTACTGCGCAGTTGTAAACATTCTAATTGTTTTGCTGCCAATCTGCTAAATAGTACATTTGCGGGCGGAGCCTGACACCCAGCCTGAACGGACACCATTTCTCCCAGCTCCTGGATAGCCGACGATAATCTATAAAATATCACCCTATACAGGGCCCATCCGCCCAAACAGATCACTCACCCAGCATCACGACAACGGGGCGAACGGATTGATGCCGTTCTTTCAAGCCGCCAAGCAAACCAGGCAACAGCGCAGATCTGCGGCCTACCGCACCACTCCAGTCCTCGAGGCGTTTTTCTGCCGACCCCAGAAACACAGCACCCCCAGGTCGGGCTTACTAATCCCCAGACCTCACCAGAGGACTCAGCCCCCACCACTAAAGGGGATCTAAAAGGAATCCTAGCACATATACAGAGGCTACTGGCTGCTGACATAGCCCTGATCAAAAGAGATGTGCAAACAGTCACGGACCGAATCATAACCACAGAAACAGACATAGCAGGAGTGCAGAACAATATGACCACCCTGAAGGACTCACTTCTACAGCTACACACGGAACAGCAAGTACTTGCAGCCCAAATAATGTCCCTCGAAGACAGACAGCGGCGAACACACATAAAAATCCGCAGCATACCCAACACCATCACCACTGAAGAACTGCCGCACTACACGCGACGCCTCCTGACAATGATCCTGTCACACTCAATAGCAGAGAAAATCACTCTGGATGGTATATATCGTGTAACAAGATACCCCCAGAGATGTCATCTTACGCTGTGTCACCATACATGACAAGATTCAAATAATGACTGCCTTGAAGGGCAAAAGGCAACTAGAATTTGAGGATGCAAAACGTAAAATCTTTGGTGCGGTGACGACCACCCTACGTAAAGGAAACATACCATACAGATGGGGCAACACCAGCTCCCTACTCGTCCATCATGAAGGGAACACTCACAACCTCACCTCCCTGATGGGAACTCTGGCCTTCCTGAACGCCCTAGGACTCCAACCCGGGCCACAACGCCCTACAGACGACAACCAAAACGCAACCTGGGACCAAACAGTTAGCATTTCAACCAGACCAGCGATGAAGAGCCTGCAGCCCTCGAATACCTGACTCACGACAGGAACGGAGATAACCTTATCTAAGTTCAGCCCTATGGCTAACTAGACACCATGTCCGAACTGTCTATCAGGACTTTTATTCCAACCAAAGAAGAGGCTACAGTCTCATATTCAGTTGCATAATGTTCTTTTTGTGTTTAAATATATATATATTTGTTTTCTTTCTTTCTTTCTTTCTTTTTTTATCTCTACACACACACAACACTCACACTCCTTCAGCCCAACAAGTAACGGGCCTCCATCCATCACGCTGTCCAGAGTTGAATGGCGTCCGAAATACCCCCTCCCACCACTGTCACTCTAGGACAGGGTTATCTTTAGGCATGCCAGACCACCACTGCAACACCGCACAAACCACAACTCACACGCACCTGATGCTCGCACTGCACATAGCACCCACAAGACACACACACATCCTGGCACTGCCTACACACAAAGACCAACCTGATAATACGAACGAGCAAGCTCCAATGCAGCACTACACCCTCCTGAAACTAAAGGAGCACACCTGTAAACTTAATGCTGTAGTGTCCCGGGAGCGCAACATGCACCAACACTCAACTTGCTAACATTTTGCTAGCCCTGGGCATGTCATCTAACCTGACCAAAAAAAACAACGTGCTTACCAAATACATCTCAAAAACACCCTATTAATCACCTGCAATGATGTCAAAATGTCACAGCTACAGGTACATGCTTGAAAGTTGAAAATATGCTGAGATGTCAGGTGTCATTTTTTCTATACAACCGAGCACTTCATATCTGAGAGTCAAATAGTGCTCTTACAGCACAGTTGTAAACATTCTAATTGTTTTGCTGCTTACATTGGAGTTTTAAAAAGTCAATTTTTTTTGGGGGGTGCTAAATAGTATATTTGGGGTGTTCACTTCATATCTGAGAGTCAAATCGAAGCGTAACTTTGATTCGAATTTACTACATCTGTCACTTGTAATATTGTTTCACATCTACAACACTTGTTACACAGATCTAAGTGATAGAAAACAGATAACAAGCTGCCATATTCAAACCAGTGACCAATAGCTAAGAGGTACTTCACCAATATTGTAATTCTGGGGCAATACCCTCACAAGTCAAACTGAGAGGTCAGTTTATAGGGAAAACTGTTGCCTGGAGGAAATTTTAAAACAATTTCTATATGTCCTTTGCAGACTTTACATGTTGGAAAAACACAGGTGCCAACTGCTGTGGCTTTCTGCAGTGTGCATACGGGCAAGGAGGGCAGGGTTGTGGAGTGGGTGGAAGATGATGTGTGCTAATCTGCTAAATAGTACATTTTGTGGCCTGCTCTTCATATCTGAGAGTCAAATCGAAGCGTCTAATAGTGTGCTTACTGCGCAGTTGTAAACATTCTAATTGTTTTGCTGCTAATCTGCTAAATAGTACATTTTGGGGCCTGCGGTGCACTTCATATCTGAGAGTCAAATAGAAGCATCTAATAGTGTGCTTACAGCGCAGTGGGAAACATTCTTATTTTCTGGGTGCTAACCTGCTAAATAGTACATCTTGGGGCGTGCACTTCATATCTGAGAGTCAAATAGAAGCGTCAAATAGTGTGCTCACAGCGCAGTTGTAAAAATTCGAATTTTCTGGGTGCTAATTTTCTAAATAGTAAATTTTGGGGCGTGCACGTCATATCTGAGAGTCAAATAGAAGCGTCTAATACTGCAGTTACAGCGCAATTGTAAACATTCTAATTGTTTTGGTGGTAAACTGCTAAATAGTACATTTTGGGGCCTGCACTTCATATCTGAGAGTCAAATCGAAGCATCTAATAGTGTGGTTACAGCGCAGTGGTAAACATTCTTATTTTCTGGGTGTTAATCTGCTAAATAGTACATTTTGTGGCCTGCTCTTCATATCTGAGAGTCAAATCGAAGCGTCTAAAAGTATGCTTATTTAAACCAGTGATCAATAGCTAAGAGTACTTCAACAATATTGTAATTCTGGGGCAATACCCTCACAAGTCAAACTGAGAGGTCAGTTCATAGGGAAAACTGTTGCCTGGAGGAAATTCTAAAACAATTTCTATATGTCCTTTGCAGACTTTACATGCTGGAAAAACACAGGTGCCAACTGCTGTGGCTTTCTGCGGTGTGCATACGGGCAAGTGGGCAGGGTTGAGGAGTGGGTGGAAGATGATGAGGTCCTAGACCCCACATGGAATCAACATCATGCGAGTGACGTGTGCAGATTGGAGGAAGAGGCGCTGGTTGCACAGAGGCACCAGCACAGCATAAGAGGGAGCAGGGTGCAAAAGCGGAGTGGCCGTCCCACAGCGCTCGTCGGCATGTATTAGCTTGAGAATTACCAGTTATCCAAGTAATACATGTAGCGATCAAAGGATCCATAACAGACTTGAGCGAACTCGAACTGCAAAGTTTGGGTTCGTACCAGATTTAACGATCCATTCATAGTTTCACAGTGAGGTGGGCAGTCCGGTGACCAGGACCCAGACACTGTCTGGGCGGCGGTCAGACAACCCTGATGTTGAAGTTAGGAGTCACAGTGTGGAATGGATTAGCAGGGTCTAGTGCAGGGTAACCGCACGCCCCTTGGTGTTGAGCACCAGCGTTTGTGCTGCCACATACCAGGACCCTGATGCAGCTTCAGTAAAAAGAGTACTTGATACAAGAAGCCATCACCAGACTGATCCGCAACTTGGAATAGGCTATGACATTCACTGTAGTGGCCGTGCGCGCTTTTGGAGTTGTCACCTGGCTGCTCGCCTGTTTGCGTTGCAGCGTAACTTCGGCCTTCCTGCTCACCGCCTCATGAGACTGTACGAGCAGCAGTGGGCGATAGTGGAGTTTCAGCTGCAGCATGCACGGATCAGTGGCTCTGCACCAGTCTTCCCTCCAATTGATCAGAGTTAAAGGATTTCAAGTGGACTCATTACAATTACAGGGCCTCTAAAGAGTCCTGTATTGTTATTTGTCGTCACTACCTTCCCGCGTCGGGAGTGGGTCATTTGCGCGCCTGCTGCCTTCCTTGCATGTGGTAGCTGTTTCTCAGGGTCCCTGTACGGAATGGAACCCTGATTCCCTGTTACCTGTGGTCACCATGGTAGGCGCAGAAACTGGCATCGAAAGTTGATATGGATGACATCCGAATGCAAAGTCGCCGTCACGGAACAGAGTTGTCGTTTTTTAATATGTCCCAATATTTTGGGGGCTACCCCAATAAAAATATATATATATATATATATATATATATATATATATATATATATATATATATATATATATATATATATATATATATATATATATATATATATATATACACATACATATGAAACAAGGGGGGTTGGCTGCACTCACCTGAACATGCATAAATGGGGGTGCTGCTGGGGGCCAAATAATACAAAACACAAGATCCAGCGCACTCACCTATCCACTAAACAGCAACTTCAAAGTTGAAAGATTTTATTAGTTTTTTTTTTTAAAACACCTAATCTAGGCAAAAATAATGGGGGTTTAGTTACATTATATGATCATACATTGCATAAGCCTGCCACAACGTCAATGTACCCCATCTTTGGCAGGTCCTACACTAACAGCCTAATGTCTGCTCTTATGAGATTAACCACTTACTTGAGGAAAAAAATTCCATCTGGGGCTCTCTGCAGTACAAGGCTAAATAGGGCCCTGGGATGAGGCACCTGTGACAGGGAGGGGTGCAAAACCAAGGAGTTGGCTAGACTCCCAAATATATACATATGAAACAAGGGGGGTTGGCTGCACTCACCTGAACATGCATAAATGGGGGTGCTGCTGGGGGCAATGTATGATCATATAATGTAACTAAACCCCCATTATTTTTGCCTAGATTAGGTGTTTTTAAAAAAACTAATAAAATCTTTCAACTTTGAAGTTGCTGTTTAGTGGATAGGTGAGTGCGCTGGATCTTGTGTTTTGTTTTATATATATATATATATATATATATATATAAAAACAGTGTTGGCTACCTCATCCTCCTCCTCCACCACCGCTGCTTGCTCCTCCACTGCCACGGTCACCGCCTCCTCAACCTATGGGTCACTTAGTATAAACTATGTACACAATAGCAGAGGCTTGTGAAGGCCTTTTCTCCATGCATCAGGAGTTGAGCATTTCTCCATCCATCAGGACTGCAAGAAATGCACCGCAAGCCGCAAATGTTTCTTTTGTTGTATGTCCCAATATTTTGTGGGCTACCACAATTAAAAAAAAAATCACAGTGTTGGCTACCTCATCCTCCACCGCCACGGTCACCGCCTCCTTACCCTATGGGTCACTTAGTATAAACTAGGAACACATTAGGAGAGGCTTTTTGAAGGCCTTTTCTCCATGCATCAGGAGTTGAGCATTTCTCCATGCATCAGGACTGCAAGAAATGCACTGCAGGCCGCAAATGTTTATTTTGTTGTATGTCCCAATATTTTGTGGGCTACCACAATTTAAAAAAAAAAAAAAAAACATAAAAAACAGTGTTGGCTACCTCATCCTCCTCCTCCACCACCACGGTCACCACCTCCTCAACCTATGGGTCACTTAGTATAAACTAGGTACACATTAGCAGAGGCTTGTAAAGGCCTTTTCTCCATGCATCAGGAGTTGAGCATTTCTCCATGCATCAGGACTGCAAGAGATGCACCGCAGGCCGCAAATGTTTCTTTTGTTGTATGTCCCAATATTTTGTGGGCTACCACAATTAAAAAAACAAAACAAAAAAAAACCATAAAAAATAGTGTTGGCTACCTCATCCTCCTCTTCCACCGTTGCTTCCACCTCCACCGCCACGGTCATCGCCTCCTCAACCTATGGGTCACTTAGTATAAACTAGGTACACATTAGCAGAGGCTTGTGAAGGCCTTTTCTCCATGCATCAGGAGTTGAGCATTTCTCCATGCATCAGGACTGCAAGAAATGCACAGCAGGTCGCAAATATTTTTTTTGTTGTATGTCCCAATATTTTGTGGGCTACCACAATAAAAAAAAAATAAAAAACAGTGTTGGTTACCTCATCCTCCTCCTCCATCGCTGCTTCCACCTCCACCGCCACGGTCACCGCCTCCTCAACCCATGGGTCACTTAGTGTAAACTATGTACACAATAGCAGAGGCTTGTGAAGGCCTTTTCTCCATGCATCAGGAGTTGAGCTCAGTTTGAACAATGAAAGAGAATACCCTGCACTCCAACCCTCTCTCAAATTGATAATTCTGTTGATCCTCCTGACAGCCATGCTTTAGATTTTGATTTATGTTCTTCCAAAGCTAAAATCAAAGATTCCATCTAGTGCTATTTTATGGCTCAGCTATATTTAAAATTTTAATGTTATTTTAAGTGATTTCCCTATCCACATTTGTTTGCAGGGCACTTGTCCTACTCTTACCCCCATTTTACTTGCTTTTGCAGCTCTCTAGCTCTTTCCAGGAGTTTTTTAGAGGCATTTTTGTGGCCAAAAGTTCGGGTCCCCATTGACTTCAATGGGGTTCGGGGTCAAGTTCGAGCCCGAACCCAGACTTTTTTTCAAAGTTCGGCTGAACCCGCCGGACCCGAACATTTAGGTGTCCGCTCAACTCTACTTGTTTCCCTTCATTGTGGGAACGTTTCCACCGAACAGTGTCTTCCTATGTGTTGTACAACCGAATGCAGGTGATGCTGGAAGTCCAGCGGTGTTCGCGAGTTGCTGTCTCCGTTTTCAGTTCCATGAACTCGACGACCAAACATTGCTGCATGCATTCGTGTGAACAAGATGGCCGCCACCTCGTAGACATCCATAGGAAATGTGGCCACCCAGATGAACACTTAGAACACTGCGATGGAAATTGCTAAAAGTAGCAATTAGGTTTAATAAGCTCCAGGATGGTCTCCGGTTCGTGCGGCTGTTCATTTCCCAAACCATATAGTCAAAATACACAAACGGAGACTTTTAAGTCTATATTACAGGGCCCATAGTCTGTGGGCAGGAGGCCGGCAAGCTGGGGTGGACAGGGGTGTTTTGTCACATCATCTATGCCACACAAAAAAAAATCCTTCTTGTTTCCATAATGGTAGTCAGATTTTGACTTAGATCAACAACCCACAATTGAAAATTTAATTATGGCATTTTTTTTTATTTAGGGTGTATATAAAAAAAAAAAAAGAACTGGCAATAGCTGCAGATCTCTTGTCTGAAGTCTTTGCCAGCTTTCCCCTTCTAACCATGTCCAGACTTTCTGTGGCTATCAAATCACAGAATTCCCAATACAGCTCTATAAGAAGTATCTGCAAAGCAGGTGCACTGGCCAAATGCTGCCTCTTAAGTTTAGCTAACTGAGCTAAACAACCAGGAAGTAACAGGACCAGTTGTCTGATTGACAGCCAGTTGGTTGTTACCAGGGTAATTTATAAACGTGCCAACTTCTATTAACATCTACATTTTTTGTAAAATGAAAAAGCTAGGACACATGTCCCTTTTATCATATCCTTGAGTATTCTGTTTTTGGAAAAAACAAACATACATCTAGGCCTTTGTAAAAAGAATATCTACAGAATCTGAACCGATATTGTGTGTAAAACAGTCATTGTGTTATAACTGCCAGTACAACCCTTCTTTCCATGACTCTGTAAACAAACAAACAAAGTGTAAATATGTTTTTATTTTAAAGGGGGAAAAATCAAATGCAAACAGACACTTTTGCAAACTTTCCAACTCTCTGTGATGTAATGATGTTATATTGAAACCGAGAAATCGCAGTTTCACGCCAGCTTTGTAAAACTGCATTTTTTGTTGTTGTTGTATGTGTTTGCATAAGGGTTAACCCCTTAAAGCCGGAGGGCATCCTATTACGCCCTATTCTAAGCGGCTCTAAATGCCGCAGGGGGTAATTGTACGCCCTCACGGTTTTTCTTACTTACCCGGGATCCCAGGGAGTCCCCCACGGCGGAACCTGCCTCCTCCGGCCCCCCCCGGCCATGTGAGAGTGAGGTCCTTGCGAGTACCTCACAATCACATGGCCGGGATAGCTGGCTGCAGCATTGCCAGCAGGTGGACTGCCTGTAATGACAGTTAGTTCCCCTGCTGGCTGGAAATGAAATAAAATAAAGTTAATATCAGTGTAAAAAAAAATAATTATATACTTAGATTATATATATATATATATATATATATATGATCTAAGTAAATATATATATTAATATCAAATTACACATAGACTGATACTGATTAAATATATATATAATTTTTGAATTATTGTTATATATATATTTATATATAATATAAAAAAATGTAAATGCGTTAAAAAATAAAAATAACAAATAACAAAAAATAAATAATTTAAAAATATATAGATGTGTGTTATTTCGTTCTAACTGTATTGTGATATTAATATATATATATTTGTATTAAAATACACGTAGAACGAAATAATATATATATCTATATACATAAATATATACGTATATATCACTATATATATATACCTATATATAAATAAAAATATTTTTTTAAAATTATATATATATATATATATATATATATACATATATTAATTCTACATATATATTTATGTAATATTTTTACATAATTAGGTATTTTAATTAATTAAAATTAGCGGGACCTGCCTGACAACCCATGCCGAAATTATAGGGAATTTAAATTGCTAGCACTATATTTAACTCTATAACTTTCCAAGACACCATAAAACCTGTACATGGGGGGTACTGGTTTACTCGGTAGACTTCGCTGAACACAAATCTTAGTGTTTCAAAACAGTAAAATGTATTACAATGATGATATCGTCCATGTAAGTACAACAGTACCCCTCATGTACAGCGTTAAATATAAGGCTTGTGTTTTCATTTTTCAAGAATGAAAATTACCCCCATGATGGCATACCATTTGCAATAGTAGACAACCCAAGGTATTGCAAATGGGGTATATCCAGTCTTTTTTAGTAGCCACTTAGTCACAAACACTGGCCAAAATTGGCATTTTTTTGCATTTTTCACACACAAACAAATATTAACGCTAACTTTGGCCAGTGTTTGTGACCAAATGGCTACTAAAAAAGACTGGACATACCCCATTTGCAATACCTTGGGTTGTCTACTATTGCAAATGGTATGCCATTATGGGTGTAAATTTCATTCCTGGGCTACTATACAGTCTCAAAGGCAACGTAACCAATCTGGCGAATTTCAATTTCAAATGTAACGTGCTATATTTGACCCTGACACTTCCCAAACGCCATAAAACCTGTACATAGGGGGTACTGTTTTACACTTGAGACTTTGTGGAATACAAATATGTGTATTTTATTGCAGTAAAAGCAAATAGTATTATGACTGACAGTTAAAATGTCATGTAGA